TAGGAGATGGGGTAGAGGAAAATGTTGGCTCTGTCTGAAGGTCACGTTGCCTGCCGAATTTCCTCGACACATGGTTCATCCTTAACACGTTGACGACAGCGTGCAGCGCATGCGCATCACACCTTGAGCACCGTGTGGGACCGTGTGCAGCGCATGCGCTGCACACACAAAATTTATTTTTTTTTCGCGCATGCGCTACTTCTTTTCTATTTTTTTGCATTTATTCTATAGATCACGTCGCTGCGTGACCATAAACGGTGTGGTTGACCGAATGGTTGAATTTGTTAATTAAGTGAAAGTTCTCCAAGGGGTACCCGACAGGAGGCCCGTCGCGCAGCAAGGCAGAGTCAGCGGACGAGTTGCAGCGCGTACTGTAGTGATTTCGCGTCAAGTTAAATAGAATGTACCATTGTACGTCCTACATCGCACATCACGCGCTGCGACTCGTCCGCTGACTCTGCCTTCTTGCCGCGCGACGGGCCTCTTGTCGGGTACCCGTTCTCCGGTCAAGACCTATAAGTTCTTTAGTTAGATTTGTTTCCCGTTTTGTTTAAATTTTTTTCAAAATAAATACAAAAAACAGTGGTAGAAGCATCAAACTATAAGTATAGAACGATATGTTTTGATGGAGCTACCGCGTCAAATAATTTTGAGGTCCACCAGCAAAAGCAAGAAAACTTGCCTTTCATTGCCATAAAACGTCATTCGGATCGAACTTTTACAGTTGTCCTTCTGATAAGTTTGACACATCGAATATCATTGAAACATTTTGTCGCATCCAGTTTTGCGTATTTAAAGCTCAAAATCCACGGATTTGATGTGAGGCGGCGGCGCCTGCAAGATCGCTCTGATCCACGCGGCGAAAAAATCGAAAACCCGTGCTGTCATCAACGTGTTAAAAATACGATGATGAGAAGATCTGATATTAGGAAAAGTTCTGTTGCGCATGATTGATCCAGATGACCGTGAGGCAGTTTCGTCGATGGGCAATTTTCAATGGAAGAATCGTGCTGTGACTTTTAAAAAGCTAGGTCGTATTTGTTGAAACTTGGCAATCCAAAATAGTTAACAGCACTGGAGATCGTTAAAGCATTGGCAGTGACCGATATCGGTGATTTCTCTTCAATATATCTTTTAAAAATTTATTATTTCCAGCAATTAACAATAACACATTTCATGCCATTTCATCAAAACAACATTTAGCAACTGTCAGCCTGCAGAGCAGAATTGCAAGCAATAGCAATAACAGAGTGAAAAAAAAAACAGTTTAGTCAGTGAAAAATTTCAACCAACGCCTTTGAGACGAATGGCACTATGCAGTGTAATACCAAGGCACTAAATTTATAACGGGAAAATACGACAATTAAAAATGTAGAAGGTGTTGCTGTTCAAACATGAATAGTTATGCAATCCCAAAATAAAGAAATTGTCAACAACGACATAAATAAGGCCCCACCACCTGATACCTAATATGACATGTTCAAACTATCCCGCATGGAGAAAGCGTGTTATGGTGGGCCAACCTCTAAGACGAGAGACAGAGAGAATGGGGACGAGAGATAAGCCAGAATAGGACGGTCTGCAAGCGGACGGTATAGTATCATCGTTCCTAAGACGCCTACTATCCGCATTGACAACGCACATCGCCCCCTCCTAATACTACCCATCGTTACTCCTCCCCCAGCCCAAAATGCGCGCAAAAAATTCGACGGCTTGGTCGAAACCCTCAATTGCCCTACGTCAGCGAATAAATCATTCCCTTCAGTAAGACATGAGACCGATATGGGAATTATCCGCGCTCGCTCCCCTTGAACTGTCTGAACATTTGTCGCTGGTAAAGGTTGAGTAACCTGGAGGCCGTTACATGAGTAGGAAAAAACTGGTAATGAACGAATAAAAAAGAAAATTTACTTCAGTGAAAAGAATGATAATAACAAAAGCAAAATGTAACAATTTCCGTCCTGATAAATATCAGGTTGTTGCAATTCTGTTAGCTTCTTGTTCTGAGGTGTCGAATTGTTGCTATTCCAATAATAAGTACATCCAATGACAACATTTGCAACAACCTAATATGTATTGCAATGACTTAATAATAAATGCCTTCAAACACCACGAATCGCAAATAAGTAGATAAAATAATGAAATAATATTGAAGTCTACGTGACGATACTTTAATTATGAAATAACTTCAGCAACTTGCTGCCCGTCTTGATTTTGCTCAAACTCGGCGTCTTGTGTAACTGTACCGGCTTCGCTGCTTTAGATCGTACTTGACCGGATCGACTTGTTGAACGAAGCGCTGAGAAAGCCGATTTCCCTGATGTTTATGAATTTTATTTCTTTGGTTGAAAATCGCAATTAGCAATTGGCAGCCCACGCAATGACAAAACACTTACTAGGTGTGACAATCTCTGAGTCTGAGGAGCACAAACGAGGCGATGGACTCCTTTTCCAGTTAGAATATTCTTAATTCCAAATTATTAAATTACTCCACTTTGAACACAATTTCTAGCGGCGATGCTCCTTTAAACACCCACACACCAATGAAGTATGTAACTATTCGATTCAAAAGCCATTGGTGATTGTGCGACTAGCATAGCGGCTGTCGCTCAGAGGACTTGAATCAGCAGCTACCTGGAACGTAGTATTAAGTAGTTTGCTCCATGGGCATGATCTCGTAGCTGCTCCGATTCGCAAAATGATTTTAACTGCCTGGTCCAATCCGCTTCACCTTGCCGCTTCAGATACTTGCCTAAAGTACGAAGTTATCGTGAAGCGCGACGATAGCGATTCTGAAATTCCTAACTATTTTATCGTTTTCCCACCACTTCTGTTTTCATTAACGATTTCGTACTTTTTAGAAAAGACGCATTTGCATGCGATCTGATCCAAGCCCATGATATGAGCAGTCACCACTCAGTCAATGTTTTACCTCCAGTGAGCCCACCAGTAAGTATATAGTCCGTACGGAGATAACATGTTTGGGTGACGTTAGTTAATAACCATGCCGCAAATGAAAGAAAACAACCCTTTAAAACTATACATTGGTGAATCTCCACTTGGGGGGTTAGGGGGGCACTCCACTGAGCTCTCTAATATCAAGGATAGCGACAAGGGTCCATGACACTAACTGACCACCTTACGGCATTTACTTCCGATAAGATCGGTGTAGTGTCAAAGCACTCCTTGAGCGTTCTCAGATTTCGGCCTGCTGTGGTTCAAGAAAATCGTCATGAACTAAGGTGTGACATTCTTGCCAGGCGCAAGGGCGCTGGAGCCCAGAGCTGCTAACTAAGTGGCGAGCCATGAGTGTGCATGATAGTAGCACACAACCGGTCCCCCCCCCCCCATCTACCAAAAGTGCACTAGGAATGAGTCGTTTACTTTTCATCTTATCCATACGGTTAAAGACCAAAGGATGCTCTCAGGTTCTACAAATGAGATAAGAGGGTGTGCCCCCCCCCCCCTCCTGAACTAAAGTTCCACCCTATGCCTCTCCACCATATGGATACGTACGCAAGCAAATATAAAAGGATAAAAGGATAAAGCATTTGCCGTTGATCAATCCCTTTTTGGGATGCGGCACGCATTCTACTTCCATTTGTACATTCGCAGTGGCATTTGAATGCGATGTGGCCTATACAATGACTTGCGGGGGCCAGCCGATGTTCAAGTCAGTGTTTTTTATCCTCCCAGACAAGTCTGGTACCAATTAACCGACCCGGAGGGATGGAAGGCTTGGTTGGCCGGGCGACTTCACGACCCAGGATTTGATCCCCGGACCGCTCGCGTGGTGAGCGCGCCACTTGTCACTACACCACTTCCGCCTCAACGCAACTATACTATGAACAAAAATGGAAGTAAGCAATATAAATCTAGCTCATGGAAACTAACCGAACAAGTATTACCGATATCGCTCCAAATCGTTCTTGTTACCCAGTAGAATCGTCTTATGTTCTCTAGCACACAGTAAATGCTCATGCTTGGTGATGCGCTCGAGAATGTTTTCTGCATACCTTAAAAACAAAGGTAAATCTTCAAATCTCAAGCAGAAGAAAAAAAATATCAAGGGGTAACTGAGATGGACTTGGGTCTGGTCAAAAGCAAAGTTTGCCAAAATTTACGCACTGTAAACTGAGCTGACTTGTCACGTCGTATACCACCAAATACACATCAGCCCAAGCCAGCCATCGCATTTCGTCTCGCGATGCATCATCTACCGTATCCATCATCCAAACCATCAGAGGCTGCCCGGCTACAGTATCCTGACGGCAGTAGGTGTCTTCTACAAAAGAGAATACACACCTGCTCAAAGCTGAACAATTCGGGAATTACTGTTAAAGACAAATGAAAAGCGCAGATGCATCACGGCAACATCGCAGTACTACAAGAGGAAAGAAATGAAAACCAATGTAAACTTTCACGTTGTGACTCCATCCGCCCTATAGACCCCGTCCTGATTGAAACTGCCATCGAGAGAATGGAAGTGATGAGATATACTCACCCCTAAAAACAGCTATCTGCTATCAACTTTCAGACACGCGTGCCGATCAACACTATCCCTTCTCAAAATCACACAACGCCTTCCCGACTCAAACATTGACAACCATTTGGAAAAAACCCCGTCAAAAACGCCCCGCCCCAACCAACCTATTGACTTGATGAGAATGGCGCTTGACGATGCACAAAACAGCAGTTATTAAATGGTAAAGATAAGCCCAACAATCATTTAACAGGCACATTGCAGAATCCGTCGAGAAGTTCTCTGGGTGTGGTTCGCTAGGACAGAGAACGACTTAAGCTTTCTTCGCACAGCAAAACTTTTTCGTTGTGGGAACTTTCAGGTCCACCACTGATCAGGCGTAGACCTGGGGTTCCCGCACCAAAAAAAACTTCGCCTTTCTGTCCTAGCGAACAAGGCACTGTTTTCTGAATGGAACGAGTTGATAACAAAGATAAGAAACGTACCCAAACTCGAATCATATTCTCCAATGAATCGTTTCGTTATGTATTTGACAGCGATGGCTGAAAAGAGAAATTAAGAAATGGAATCACAGCGATTTACTTTGGCAGATGACAGGGAGCAAATATTCACCCAGTATTTGAATAAATGACTTCGTCCGATGTCATAGTGTGCAACTTTTTGATGCTGCTAGTTTTCGTGGGTATTTAGATACATAGTCGTCCATTTTACACTACGCTCAGTTGCAAGAAAATAAATGCCGAAGAAAAAATAAACTGTAAATATTGGGGTGTTTGTTCAGAAGACAACGGAACTCGAAACGATTCTCTATCTTGTAACCTCGCGGAGAAAAAGAAAAGGCCTCGCCGTTACTCGATTCCGATTAAGTTTCGAAGACTCACCAGATTTTCCTGATCCTGTCATTCCTACTAACGCCACATGCATCTCCCGAACAGCCGCTGTTGTTCGCATCGTGCTGACAAAAAGTGGTGTCTCTTCGAAACATAGGAAGAAAGTTTACGAAAAGCCAATAAGATTTTAGTATCTCTCTAGTGATTCATAGTCCGCTAGTTCTCAAAGACCTTACACGCTCAATATTATGAAAAATTCGAATCAGAGTTTTAACTACTATGTTAGACAAAAGCAGTTGATGAGTACCTGCCGTCAATCTTCCGGTGCTGATGGCAAATAGAATGTGAACGGCTGATCAGTACGAATGCGGTCAAAAGCAATAGCTAATGGATCCTGTGGATGAAACAGAATCACACAAGCGGGGCTCTTCGATGCCAACGATGGTGGTAGACTCAGTGAGCACACGTGATGCTGGGTGCGCCTCGCGAAAATCCTGCAAAAACACTTATTCAAAAAACGCATTCTAGAAATAGGCTGCATTCTAAAATTTTGAATCCTACTATATATAATTCGCTAAGTATGTCTGTGCGTGTGTATGTGTGTGTACGTCTGTTTGTCACGAAATTCATAGCGCGCTTCGCTGCAACATGGAACGCTGTATTTTAGGTATGTTGTAGGGGGTGGACGGGAAAATACCTGGTTATCTATAAACTATGTGAGGAAAGAGCTGCGAAAGTTTGGGCATTCTGAAGTAAGTATGGGGATCAAGATTTTCTACGCGTCACAATCCAACACCAGAGGTCAAAACATGAAGCGCAAAACTGGCAAAATGTCAGTCTCAAGTTTCTGTTGGAGGCTTTTTCGCGCAAAATCATCATATTGTCGCCTGCCTTCGAAAACCTGCCCCAATCTCTTGAATCCGACTATGATGCCTTCGGAAACTACACAAAAACCGGAATTTGGAAGTACACAGAAATTATCATCAAAATAACAAACAATGAATTGATATGGTAGCACGTCTTCAGCACTTCTCCAAACCTTTGGTCGCAAATGCAAACCGACACGCTTCAACTTATACAGATTAGTACAGAAAAAACTGAAAGCATAAGGAATGCTTGTGAGTGATAAAATTGAGGCTCCCGTGAAAGTTATCATCGAAGGCCTGAACACGTTGGAAAGGCTGCCATCCGACTCTCAACACGAGATTGAACACCTGAGAATAACATAGCGGTCCCAATGCAGAATCGATAACCGAAGAGCCCAGCGTTGTAAACCTGGTTGGATGACCATCAGCTGCTTGTCATTTCGCAGCATCGCAGGGTGACGATAGGTCAGCTGTTATTTATCGGTTCGGAGGCAAACAGTACACAAATGGAGTAAGCTTAACTCTATGATATTTTCTCATTGATGTAAGAACACTGAACTTACTTTACTGGTGCGCATGCCATACATCAGATTCGAATGAAATTTTCTCATCAATCGAAAAGTATAAGGGATCGAGGTAAGGATTTTCCGATGAAGAATGCTAAAGATCAATTCAAAAAATAATATGCCAATCACTATTCGAGTAGTTTATTCTTCGCAGCACTCACGTGGCAGCCGCAAAAAGGCTCAGCACCAGAGAGACGTTCTTCATACATTCGCTTCAGTGAACATGACCGCTTAAAACAACACCAATCATAGTATTACGAAAATGCCATATAAACATAATGAAGAATCTTTAAATGTGCATATGATCTCCTCCTGTATGCGCGTCCATCAAGTTCCACTTGAAATTTTAGAGGCCTTTGAATGCATTTTATACGTGTTTTTTTTTGAATGCATTTTACGAATACAACGATTTTGTGAAGCCACGTTCAGATCAATGTTATTACACCTACTGGAGCAAATCTCAGACCAAACCCCTGGCAAAACAGTAAAGCTTTACATCTCTTCGGATGGCGAATTTCAAGTTGTATGTGAAGGTAAAAATATTGATACACTCGCATAGGTCGCAGCATGATAAATATTCATTCGAATAATATGGAGATCTGGGTTTTTAATGGGCGAGTGACATCTAATCACCAGTCAGTTTTTTCATCCCCCCCCCCCAGACTCATCTGGCAGTAATTGACAGTAACTGAAGAGCACAGAGGATGTATGGGTCGGGTCATACCTTGCTATCTACTCCACAATCGGACTGCAAACCGAACTGCAAAGTGTGACCCGACCCTGAGGCGTAGTGAGTTTCGATGGATTTCGATTAGTCGTTTGATTCCCAAACTACGCATGTCACCATCCCAGACATAAGTCGCAGTAAACATACAGGACTATACAGGACGATTACCTCAAAAAACTCACTTCCTGAACTATTGCCCATTAACCAATGTGCTTTCTGCTTCGAATGCGGATTGTATTGAAATGACTTTGGATACCGATGCGGGTTTTGCGTTGGAGTCAACAAAACCTCGACGAAGTTTTCATAGAACGCCAACAACTCAGGTCCGTACTAAAACCAAATTAATTAAAAAGCAAATGAAGCAGATTTATTTTGCCAAATAAGGTTGATCAAACCTCTTGGTAAACTGCCAGAATCTTGCAATCTCTCCAATCCAAGATGAATAGAAAACATGGCATCAGCGCGATATCGTACCGTATGGAAGTATCTGAATTGCATTATTAACTACCACGTAGGCCCAATGAGGGGAAGTGTTCATGAAAATCTTATGGTTAATACTACAGGTTTCATAACTCTCTCGTAATTCATCCAGTCTTATGGTTAGAGTAACAGCGAAACTTCCACCAAATGGCCTCAAACTAGTTCAGCCCCGCCATATTTCCTTGTTTCATCTAGTTCCCACATAACAAGACTCACTGTTTACAGCTAGATGTGAAGGTATTTATTCAGTAACCAAGAAAGCGGAGTGTAGCAATAGAAAGAATTACAAAAATTGCCAAAGAACTTACGTGGTAGCATCCTGACAAGCAGATAATGACCATCGAAGAGTTGAGCACGATGCATTCGTAACTTCTCCACATAAGATGGTGTAAGACGCAAGAACTCTTCCACATTGCCTTCTCGTTTCGCCTCTTTATAAAGGAATGTGAGCAGCCGCTGTTTCAATCCAGTATAAAGAGAAGTTCGTGTCGGCGTTGCTTGGCAGTCACCACTAAAAAAATTTATATTCCATGAAATGATCATAACTAAATAACAGAATGTAGCTCGTATTAGCCGTCGACCGTGCCACAAGTTGCACATTTGTAGCGATGTAGTGGACACTTGAGAAAGAAGAAGTGGTAGCACAGGGGAATTGCTTAGGGTTTCTTCAAGAAAATCTTGCATAATCAAAAGGTTGCACGAGATTACTCCCGAGGAACAAAATTTTAGTAAAAAACATTACTCAAGAGAACAGGAGGATCAACATGGCTCGTGGAACATTTTGCTCACCCCTTTTCTGCCGCGTGCATTATGTTCGAGAAGTTTGAGGAGGATTCCACGATAAGGTCGAAGAAGGGGACCTTACCAAGAGACGGGCGGACCCCGTGAGGGTGCAGCGAAGGGTATGCCCCGCGATTTAGCATGGCTTTCCCGCGCGCTATCGACGCGGCACGCCCACCGACTGGCTAACCACTCGCCGCAGGTCTCTAGCCGTTCAGCAGAGAGCGTTAGCGTTGAAGAGGGCAGCACCGATGAGAGTCGCATCAATGCGGAAATCAACGGGCAAGGAAGGGTCCCATTTCTTGGGTTCTGGGCATTTCTCATGATTTTTTTTTCAACCCGGCTCAATGACCACCTCCACCTTGATCCTGATGAGCTGCCTTTTAATCATAACCCCTGCCTCTAATCTCAATACAATATGAAGAGCTATTCCCTTGGCTGATGAAATGCCCTGTCTCTGTGACCCATTTTCTCGAGATCAAGCGAACTCACAATAGGTACAGTCCATCATCATCCCATATTGAAGCACCGATGTCCTTCAATGGTATCATCGCACCGAATTCGTCGACATGAAGCATATGAATGATCTGGAAAGGTTGACCCTCCAACATTTTCAATAGCGCTTAGAGAATAATAAATCACTACAACTTGCAAAAATCTAAAAAATTTCGGAGTGAAAGCTAAGACAGCCCACCTGCTTCTGCAGTGACATTATCATCATGGTTGTGCCGCAAAGAGCCACGCCATGTGTGAGATTTATCCGGTCGAAATTGTACATCACAAAGTGCGCAATAGAACCTTTCTGTAATTCATGACTTGAACAGTCAACCTTTTTTCAACAGCGATAGCAGCGGATGTGATTAATCGGGAGCATAAGCTCACAGGTTTAACCGGATCAACTATACATATCAAGACATTCCGCAGCACTGTCTCAGTTAGACCTCGGTCAGACTCGGCGATTGCGTCGCTGTACACCAGCGACGGAGTTGCCCGGCACAAGAGTGGCAGCAACGGGCGATGACTCAGCACACGATCGATATCGGTTGGCAGGGGGAGATTAATCATCCTCACCCATCGTTCATGTTGTTCTGCTCGGTTTTTTTTTTCAAATTCTTAATCAGGATAGTGGTCCTCCCTGTCATTGTAATAACTTCAAAGGTATCTTGAAGTAACTAGCTCGAAACTTGATTGGTTCTTTGATCGAGTGGGAAAATCCATGATAGTTGTATTTCACAACTTCTTTTGGTGGGTCATTTCATCACGTCAATTATTACAGGACCACTTTCCTCGCATTCAAGTGCATCCCACGCAGTCTTTTCCTGATTATATCCTATCGTCGCCCAGCGACTCCGTCTGACCGAGGTCTTACGAACCAATTACGAAAGGGAAAACAAAACTCGTGCTGTCATCAAAAAGAATTCAGCAAACACAGCAGTGAGAAAAGTATGACTCCCGGTAACTGAAATAGACCTTACCTTTATATCTATCGTGAAGAACGTGTAAATTTCAAGACTGTAGTTTGTAACTGGCAAGGCTTCAGTATTCGGATAAGCCATGGGTATTGTTAACAGTTGATCGGGTGCCTAAAACACTGTTTTTGATGAATAATAGTCACACACCAAGGCGGAATTGTGAGGCCGGTGTCAGAGTTAGCATATCCACCGAATCGCGATGTACGAGCGATGCCGTGAACGATGCACTAGTAAATGAAAAAATGAGCCCTTCTCATGTACATGTTAAAGCTCCCCACATTCCGAGTCTGGTGTCTAAAGCCTACGTCTAAAAA